TTGCGAACGTGATTGTCAACAGATTGCGTATTTCTAAATTTCTAAATATAATAGATCCAATCTTGGTGTATTCTCTCGGTTAATTTTCGATTCACTTTTTTCTTATTTTCCTACGTTTAAACGATTTCTTAACTTCGAGAGAGAGAGAGAGAGAGAGAGAGAGAGAGAGAGAGAGAGGGAGGGAGAGATAAAAGAATTTCTGCTAATATTCTTGGTCGCTCGTTCCAATCTTACGAGTTTTAAAAGAACTTTAGGTTCTTGGAAAACGAAAGCGAGATCGGAGTATGAAAACTCGAAGATCGCAGCTCGTGGTTAAATGAATTTTTCTTCGATGAACTTTATGCTTTTTCTCTTTTTCTGTCCCTGCCGTGAGAAGCTTCAATAGCCTCTCCGTATCGTCGATAAAACGTACGGATCACGTGGGCCCTAATGCGACGCGATTTAACGCGTGGCCAATTACGTAGTTACTTTTGCGCCGGTCCGACTTCCTGAACTCCGGTTCGATCTGCTCTCTAGCCTATCTTGTGCAACGCCGATTTTTCCGTTTCATCCGCCAGATATATACACAGAGTAGTCTAAACATCTAGGTTGCTCCAAAATTACGGCACTGCCACGGCGTATCTGAACTTCAGAAATAAATTCTTACGACAACCGAAGTGTACAATTTTTTTGTTTCAACAGAGAATTTGAAGTGCAGAAAAGATTTTATTTTACAACAAGATTTTGTTAGAGATTTTACTTTACAATAAAGAACACACTTGCACGTGTGCGCATGTTTTACTAAAATACTTTTGTTTATACGTTTTGCTAAACATCACACGAGTCTCTGCGAAAATACGCTGTTACAAATATATGAAAATTTCGATGGAATGTTATAAATTTGTCGTTCTGATAACTTTTAAATAGTTCTGGCGTTAAATAAGAAGAATACAATATGAATATTGTAAAGCAATATGAAATTAAATCGAAATTATATTTATAATATAATATTATAAATTATAAAATTATAAATATTATGATAAATTATAATAAATATAAAATTATAAATATTATAATAAATTACAATAAATATAAAATTATAAAATTATAAATATAATAAATTATAATAAATATAAAATTATAAATAACGTAATATTATAATATATAACGTATATGTGTTATATTACATGTACATAATATTATAGTATATATAGTATAATAATATAATATTATAACATAATAATATGTATAATTTTAGTTTTGAGCTACAAGGTTGCAAGCCTTATCACAAACTTTTTTTCTATTTGATTGACAACTGAATATGTCCGACTGTTTCAACGTTATCTGCTGATGCATTTACAGACCAAGGACTGCCCCACAGACGCAGTTCCGCGGGGAATTAAAAAGTGCATTCTTGTAACACTAACGAGTTTAGCAATCAAACGAGTGAAATTTTGCAACATATCCCATTATTCTCTAGTTACTCTCAGCGACGAGTGTCAATTCAATATCATCAGCCAGTCGAATTATTGCGAATGAGAGAAAGAATGAACGAGCCGCGGCAAACGAGAGAATGAGAAAAGCTGAGAAGCTCGTACAAACTTTCCGCAAACTTCTCGTCTCGTCGACTTGTTTTGAAACGTCCCGTACGTTGATCGATCGTCGAGAGACAGAAAAGAAAAGAAAAGAAAAGAAAAAAAAAAAAAAAACAGAAAAACTCTTGCTTGTTTTCGTTGTCGATGCTCGGCGGACACCAGAAACGCGCAAACAATAAAATATTTCTGTAGTTCCGCGTTCTGCCATCGAGCTGATCGTATTTTAACCGTGGAGTGCACTTTGAAATTCAATGAAACGAACGGGGGGGGGGGGGAGAAATTTGCGGGAAAACGAGCCGCTTGAAAATTCCCGTGCGACTTCATTTCACTTTGTTCCCTTCGAGTTTGTTTCAAACTTTCTCTTCTCTCCCTCATCGGAGCACCCCCGGCTCGGTTTAATATCAGATTTTAATATCGGAATTTTTTTTCCTTCACTCGGTCGTTTAGCTAATGTTTCTGCTCGCTTCGGGGCCAGAGTCGAGTCGTCGGCGCTAGGTATCTGGGTTCGAACCAAAATAGGTAATTCAACATACCCATACGTTCTCGGATGTCGCGCGACTATAAATCGAACTGGAGCATTGGCCAATTGGGAGGAGGTGGAGAGAAAAAGGTGAAATCGCGAACGATACTCGAACGGTACTCGAACCACCGAGGAAATTGACCGACCGATTTCTTTCGATGGCGGACGACGCACAGTCGACGATGGGAAATCAAACTTTCGTGTCCGACGAGTGGAAATATTTCTTTACGATGTTGTTCGACCGATCGGAGGGAAAAGTGGTACGAGCGCGTTTGAAAAAGGAAAAACGAAGATTCTCGTGCTTTTATCTGAAAGATTTCGCGTTTTGAATTTCCAAGGTTCCCCGGCTATCTATTATGATAACGTGCCCATCATCAGAAGATTGGAATTGTCGCTTCAGATCACGTCGTAGTATATTTTGTAACACTCATTTTACACTTTATAAAGTATATTGATGGTAAATTTAAATTACTGTCCAAGTGCCACGTAACGCGGGAATTTTAAATTTTTCTCAAACAGCTCTGCCTGCGTCGCTCTCTTTTCCCTCTCTCTTCTTCTTGTTAATTAAAGTGTTTTAAAAAGAACCAACACGTCAGGAGTTTAGCCAAGTATTTAAAAACACGAGGGCCCTCCTCCGTGCTTTGTTTCTCATTCTATGGGATGTTACATAATTTGATTCGAGCACAGCGAGCGCGAGTTTCAGTTGAAATAAAGTTCAACCATGAATGGAGTATGAACGAGTGGTATTGAACGGGCTTAGGGTAGGTTTATGCGGTATTAGCATATTCGTATTTGCTCTCCAAATTATTCTAATTCGCGGTGAATTTAAATGTCAAATAGGTGGAACGTCAAATAAAGTATTCTTTTCAGACTTCGTTGTTCCAGCTGTCCTACTCCCGCGCGCGGGGCACGTATTTCAAACGATAGATTTCAAATTTTTAAAACAATGACTCGAAAAAAGAAAAAAGAATATATATCGTTCGCAGCGTCATGAAATTTTCTCTGTTCTTCAGCGTGGCCTGAATCAAAGATTAACATTCATCCGAGCGATAAATTTCGACGTAAGCTAATACTAAATGTATTATAGCGCAAAACGAAACGAAAAACGTAACAAAAAATTTCAACGTATCGTCCAGATACTAAAAAAAACGCGAAAAAACAAAGATAATCGCAGTACGGTTCGATTCTATATCCTTACTTTTTTCCCCCGTAAAAGCGTAAGAGCTTTCCAATCGTGATAAAATCGGCCAGCGTCTGGACGATCAATCGCTGATTTCCATGATGAAACGAAGGCTGTGGTTCGCGTCAGACCTCTCACCGCGCACGTATGTGTGTATGTAAGACGCGCGAACGCCATCCCGATGCTCTAGCCAGGCAGGATTGCGTGGGCCACTCGTTACTCGCCGCTCGATCGAAACGAATCGGTTTCGTCGTTGCGTTCCTTGATCGATACGAGCCGCTCCGACGGCGCTTCCTGATTCAGCGAGATCGCGGCTGCGGTTCAGATTTCTGTCAGATCGCGGTCGGCAAATGTAACAACAATCGATCCGTGGTTTTCGTTCGTGCTTGTTGTTGTTCTTCTCTTCGCGCGCGTTGACGTTCGTGTGCGTGCGTGCGTGCGTTCTACACCTATATATCGCTTGTTCGCTCTCCGGAGGCCCCATATATATAGGGGCCCGTTTGCTCGGCCGCGGGCTTACAACATCCTCAGCCAGCAGCGCGAGTGCATCGCCGTCTTCTCGTCTTCTTGTGCTCCTTAGTTGTTCGCGATTCGACATAGTCGCGATTCTCGAATCGGGCGTCGAGTCTTTTCTTCCTCTTCTTGTTTCTCCCCTTTTTTCCTCCTCGCTTTCATTCGCGAAGGAGAAGAATTTCTCCTCCAACGGCATTTTTCCACCCATCGTTTCGTGTTTTTCGTGATCGTCCAGTCCAGTGATCTCGACGAAAAAAAAAAAAAAGAAAAAGAAAAAAAAGAGGAGAGATAAGAGACAAAAAGGAAAAAGAGAGGAATTGAAAAGAAAAATCTTCGGCCTCTGTGCGACGACGGGCGGAGTCTCTCGAGTCGAGGAGAGTCGATTTATTGGAAAATCGTTTCACGGACGATTGTTTGGTCGGGAGATCCGGAAGGTGGTCCCTCGGCGAGGGTAAATCGGTGGCCAGGCCGCCGAACGGGGGTTGAAAAGAGGCAGAGAAGAAAAGGGGATGAGAGTATTGTGATTCCTACGTCGGAAGTCGAGGGCGAGTGATCTCCTCGGATTTTTCGGCTGGGCGAGAAGGATTTTCGCTGTGTTCCGGAGGGGATAGGATACACGGAAGCCAATGAAGCTCGAAAGATGCTCTGAATAGATGGTCCCGGTGTTTCGGGTTGCTATCTTGCTACTTTTGCCTCGCTGGCTCGACCTGCGTTTATCGGTCGTTTCACGTAACACTTGAAGCTCCGCGAGCCGCAATAAAACGATCGACAGACGATTTTCTG